TGGCGTCACCAACCTGCGTGCACACGCAATCGCGCTATGAGAAGTGAGCGTGCCGCGCCGTCACGTGCGTAGGGGCGCACCTCTCGGCTCGGCGGCAGACTGAACGGCAGACGTGCAGGTGCGAAGAAGCGAGGCCGCCCGACTGATTACCGGCGTGAGTGCGAAGGAAAAGCAATCAGGGACTGTGGCGACAGCACGAATAGCCTGCGTGGGCGTACCGGAAGAATGAAGTTCTTGAGTGGCGGCAGCTCGGCATCGAGCTCGTCAATCCACTTCTCCAGAGTGGTCACGTGGACGTCCGAAAACTCGGTGCGACCTGCACAAAGCCATGCCGTGAGAACCGAAGTAACAACCGCAAACGGTGCTTGATTCTGCTGGATAAACATACGCAGACGGGCATCGGCGTCGGCTGCGTTTCGTGGCGTGGCCACGTTGGCTCCGATGTCAAGCAGCAGCGACTGAATCTGTAGCGGACACGACCCCGGCTCAGTTGCCGCCAGGCGAGTCTTAGTGAGAAGGAAGTAGTACCATTTGCAGCTTTTCATCCAACCCATTCTTGCTCTGCTCGCAATACTCACGGGCAAGTCTGCCCAGTGGCGTGCGGAGGAATGCAGGCTGTTAGCGGCCAACAGGCGCTGATGGCAAACAAAACAACACGAAGGCAAAAGGTGTTTCGGCTGTACCCGACGAAGGAGTTGAGCTCGTCGGTGGTGCCTAGTGCGTGGAACACCACGTCTTCCTTCGCCCTGCGCTCCTGATCACACGCCCGCCCAACCACTCATTACGTCACGACCACGCAATTGCGAAACCAGCAGGCAAGGGGGTGAGGTGTACGCCAGTGAATAGGGACGACTCGCCACCGTCGCCAGTCTTCGTGTAGATCTTCACTCCTCGCCTTGAGTCTGCCCACGCATGGCTGGTGCAGAGTACCTTGGGGGTGGGGGGGGGTGAGCGGCAACTCGCATACGTTTGATCTTTTATTGGGCGTGGGGCGACAGCAGTACCGGTCTGCAGTTGGAGAATAGAGGCCGTGAAAAGCGACCCACACGCGTGCCGGCCACAAATCTCTTCATAAATCCTGGTCGAAAAGAATGAATTAACTTTTTATTTCTTTGCGGCAAAATCCTGGGATTCTCGGTTGCTTCTCGCTTCGAACGAAAAACTCGGCTGCCTGGCTGTGACGTCACCCTGACCCAACTTGTCTTCGTGCGAACTTGTCCGCAGTCAGCTAAGACCGCAACGGAAGGGCTCTGCGGACATGCTTGTGGACGCCGCCCCAAAAACCAGAACTGAAAGGTTTTCATGCGCCGCTATTTTTTCTCTTTTCAATTTTTCGCCTCAACCCCGCAGCACCGGTCGTGTCGTGGTGCGCTGTAAACATCCAATCAACCCACACATCAACCAAGCCGCACATCGTAGAATTAGACAATGGCCCTGAAGAGGATCAACAAAGAGTTGCAGGATCTCCAACGCGATCCGCCCACAAACTGCAGCGCTGGCCCCGTTGGCGACGATCTCTTCCACTGGACGGCTACCATCATGGGACCGCCTGACAGCCCGTACCAGGGTGGCGTCTTCTTCCTGAACATTCACTTCCCCACAGACTACGTACGTAGCTCGAGATGCATCTCTGCTTTTTCATCCTCCCCGCCCCTTCTTCACCGAAGCTTGGCCCTCATTCCTCCCTTCCATTTCCTTCTTTCTCGCATTGCTCTACTCCAGCCCTTCAAGCCTCCCAAAGTCAGCTTCACAACCAAGATCTATCACCCCAACGTCAACGGCAACGGTAGCATCTGCCTCGACATTCTCAAGGATCAGTGGAGCCCTGCCCTGACCATCTCGAAAGTCTTGCTCTCCATCTGCTCTCTGCTTACCGATCCCAACCCAGGTAACCTACTCGCTGCAATTGAATTGCGCTCGCATTTTCTTATTCACCGAAACACAATTTTCCTTCACAGATGATCCCCTCGTGCCCGAGATCGCCCACATCTACAAAACCGATAGGTCGAGGTATGAAAACACGGCTCGGGAATGGACGCGCAAGTACGCCATGTAAGCTACGCTCTTTCCGAAGTTGTAGATCTTAAGTGCGGCGTTTCCTCTTCCCTCGTTATTCATCCCCATGCTATCTATCTGTGAGACTTCCGGAATCCGATCATGCGCATTGTCAGCGGGAGTGATCGTGTTGAGTACATCTTTCTAAACATCAATACACGTTCGTCACTCACCCACAACTATGGATCGCGACATGTTTAGCTGCTCTCGCTCGGTGCGATGTTACTGCTAGTTGTTGCTGTACTCTTATTACAAAGGGCTATGCGACGTCGCATCGTGCCACCACGTCTAGAAGAAGTCCTGCTGCCCGAACGGGTTTTGGCCATTGCCAACTGTGCCGCCCAGATCACGCTGCGTGAGCAAGCCGTCCCAGTTCTCCATTGAAGCCCAGAGAGGCGCGTACCTTGCTGCGGGGCAGCTGGGAGCTGCTGGCCAGCCTGGAAGTAGGCGGGGTAGGACTGCAGCTGGGCCAGCGTCTTCTTCGGCTCGGGTTGGTGGTGCGGCTGCGCATTCATTCGTAACGTACATTCGCTCGTGCATCAGGCCGAGCACCACAAAACACGACCAATCATGCATTTGGCCGTACCGTGGTGGGAGAGAGCGACTGCAGCTGTGCGCCCTTGGGCAGTTGCTGTGCGACGAGGCTCGCGAACGCGTCCGTGCTGGTCTGCTGCTGCTGCTGCTGGGGCAGGGACTGGGATGGCTGGAAGGAAGATGACCCGTAGAGGCCCGAGCTCTGTGGCGCAGCGGCGACCTGCCCAAAGTGCGTGAACCCACCGGACAACTACGAGAGATGAAGATGAAGAGGATGCAATCATGAGCGATTGGGCCTCAGCACGATCACGAAGAAGCGATGCCGGGGTCGAGGAAAGGCGTACCGGTGCCTGCTGGCCAGCCCATGGGCTCTGAGCCAGTTGCGACGACTGGGAAGCGAGGGCCTGCTGGTACAGCTGCTGCTGGAGAGCGAGCTGCTGCTGCTGCTGTTGCTGGAGCTGAGGAGACTGGGGATACTGCAGGGGCGAGCCGGGGGTGGCGTAGGAGACGGCCGCCGCCGAAGACGACCCGTAGGGCTGGGGCGTGGCGGTGAAGACGGGCTGCGAGGTGGTCCCCTGCTGCGGGTACTGCAACGGCTGGAAGGCGCCGCCGCCCGACGAGAGCGAAGGCTGCGCGGCCTGCTGCTGTTGAATTTGCATCTGCTTCTGTTGCTGTTGCTGCTGGAGCTGGAGCTGCTGCTGTTGAATCTGCTGCTGGAGCTGTTGCTGCTGTTGCTGGAGCTGCAGTTGCTGCTGCTGGAGCTGCTGCTGCTGTTGGGCGAAATAGGCGGCCTGAGGCTGCTGCTGCGGGCTTGCGGCGGCGATCGAGGAGTTGGAGGAGGCGACCGAAGCCGAAGCCGACGATCCGTAGAGGCCCGGGGCGCCGGCCCCGAACGAGGTCCAGCTCTGGGTCTGCGCAGACCCCGACGGGGCCGAACCGAGAGGCGCCGGCGAGAACGAGCCGGACAAGGGCGGCTGCTGCTGCTGCTGCTGGGGCTGGGTCCTGGGCATGGACGCGTAGGGCGAGCCAGCGCTGGCGGGCTGGGCCACGAACGACGAGTGCTGCTGCAGCGCCGCCGGCTGCGCGTACGGGTAGGCCTGAATCTGGGCCGGCTGCTGCTGCTGCTGCTGTGGCTGTGCCTGGGACAAGCCCACGCCGCTGCCGTAAAAGGCGGGGGCGAAGCTACCCGAGCCCTGGGCGCTGATCGACAGGTTCTGCATGCCGACCACCGGGTCTGTGAGGAGGCTGCCACCCGCACCGGGCGCCGTGTTCGTCGAACCGAGCGTCGGCGCACCTGCACAGCGCGAGGAGAAGGATCACGAGGGGCGATGATGAGCGATCGCCGGCGAAAAAAGGTGGTGGGCCGAGGTGTCGAGAGGGTCGTACGGGGCTTGCGCTGCTCCTTGGCCTCCTGCTGTTGGCGCTGCTGCTGCTGCTGCTGGCCGGTGTACTTGCTCATCCGGTGCGGGTCGGACAGTCGCAGGGCGGCGTCGGAGATGGAGTAGCCGCACTTGCGCAGGATCTTGATGGCGTCCTCGGTGGTCAGACCAACGAACATCTCCTTCAACTGCTCGGCCTTGTCCTGCGCGACGACCACATACATACCACATTCCACATACCACACAAGTTGAGCGCTCACGCCACGTTGCAGCCCCCAGGCGGGTGGGGTGAATGGGGCGTCGACGGACCCTCAGATCGGGAGGCGTCTGGCCCGGCGTGGCCTGAGCCTTCCTGGGCTTGCTTCGGGGCACCGGGGACTTGTGTGGTTTGGCTGCACGACAACGCCGTCAGCCAAAATAATAATAAAAAATAATGTAAATAATAAAATAATAAATAATGTAAATAACAAACTTGTACCCTCCCGATCGGTGTTGTAGGTGATGCTCATGTTTTCCTGGCTGTCGGCGAGCCACTCCTGCGGCAGGGGTTCCGGCTTGGGAATGTCCTCGTCCTCATCGGAATCTGCCAAATACAGCGGAGCAGTGGCGCACATGAGGCGGTGAGCGATCATGGCCAACTGGTTGACCGACCGACACCGACGAGCACGAGGACAAGAGGAGCCCTCCTAGAGATGTGCGCACCTTTTCGTCCCGGCCTCGGGGAGTTTCTGTAGAAGAAGAGCGAGGCCACGGGTCAGCATTATTCAAGAATGTGCGATCGTGATGATGACGACGAGAGCCATGGAGGCTGTTAAAATATATACGTACACTCCGCCTCGCTTGGCATAGGACGGGGACGCGCCCCTTCCTCCTCGGTAGT